GGAGTGAAATTTGTACCGCCTGCTCTCCTCACACACGCTCAGGAAGCCTGCGTTTCTCCCAAAAGCCCAGCCTTTTTCAGCATCATGGCCGCTGCATGTTTGAGCGTTGCTGTGCTACTTGATAGGAGTGATTGAGGTTCTGCCAGGTCTATAGGAGAGTTTAGGACAGGGCAGTTCAGCGCCCGGCTTAAATTGTGGGCATAAATCAAAAGCTCTCGGCCTTCCTCTTGTTGACTCTTTAGCCGTAGCCGTGTTAGACAGACTGCTCGAAATGGAGGCGGACGTGTGGGACAGCACGAATGCGGCGACGCGTCAGGCCCCCCCTCGGGTTGAACTTGTGGCAGTGGGCTGAGAGACCCGACGCCCAACACACAGCCTTCACGAAGCGGGTCTCCAGGTGGAAAGCTGGCACTGTCTTGTCTGATGAGGTGAATTGCACCATTCGAGGCTTGTCAAGGATGTGCACGCGAACATCCCGCAAAACCTCCGCTGCTTTGATCGGAACTTGGACAGAGATGCACAGGGCATGGTTTGGGAAGAACACTTTCCCTTGGCCTTTGACTGTGGATGAAGTTCTGGCCGTTGCGTCGGTGATGGAGAAACAAGGATACATGTCCTTCGCCAACTATGCTTCAGCGGCAAAGGAGCACATCGTTGTGGCGAGGAAATGTCCCTCGGAAAGGAACTATGAGCAGCTCAAGGTGTCTAGAGATGTAGATGTTAGCTTGGACGAGATCCATGCGGGCCTTAGGAAGCTTGCACAGGAGCTAGGCGACGCCTCGAACGGAAGCTGTCGACGATATGAACGCCAAAGTTCAGGTTTTTCCCGAAGAATGGCGCCGCCTTTTGGAAGAGCGGCTGATCAAGTTTCGCGACGAGTTCCTCAAGAAGCCTTCCGACTACGTGATGAATCATGAAACTAAGTACTAGCACCTTGTGCAGGAAGGAAACATCCGTGTGATGTCTTTGGTTTGGTCCGCATCATGCAAATGGAAGTTAGACCAGGGAGGTTCAGGCACGTTGCAGATGCATTGAATGGACCCCATGTGCGATTGTCATCATTCGCAAATAATTGATGCTGTTGGGGGGGAGGGAGGGAGGATAGCAACATCAAGTGTTTGGATCATATTGTTTGCAACCGGGGCCCCCTAACGTCACCGTTTTTCTAGGCAATCCATGCTTGCAAATAAAAAGCAGCATCATATCATCACCAAATTTACTGGAAGAGAGGGTAAAGGAAGATCATGCGGATCGTATTGTTCGGGGCTGCGCCCTCCGCAACCCACCCCCTTTTTTGTCAGAACATCCAACAGCGCGACTGAAATCCTTTCAAAATGCTGCAAGTCGCAGCAATCATCTCTACAGTGCAGAGCTGATTTAAAAGCTCGAAAATCTCCGAACGGCGTAATTTACAGTGCTTGCAACATCGAAAAAGTTCCAAATGTTGTACTTCACTCTACCTGCAAACTCTAGATGACTTGCAGATGTAATTTACAATGCTGGCATCCTCTACACACCGAAAATGCTGCAAGTGTACAGTATCTGCAGTGTCTACGCGAACCAGAACTTTGATTTACAGTATGCGCAGCTTCTGCACAGCTGCAAATGACAATATTTGCCGCAACCCACATATTGCAATTTGCAGTATATCTTCTACCATCGGCAAAGTTCTCTCTCATGGGCATTTTTTGTTGATCCTCCGTTTTTGATCCCCTAGCAACGTTTTTGATCTCCCACCCAAGCCCCTTTGCTTGCCACTGTGCCCCAGACCTCGCAGCAATGCTTTCACCTGGTGTGGCGCCAGGAGGGGCACTTTATTTGCTTTAATAGTGAGGGCTATCAGCATTTGCTGTGCCAAGTGAGAGGACAAGGAGCAAGATGCCTATGCCGCGCTGGGCGTCCGTTGAGCGGAAACTCTGCAAGCACTTGCAGAAAGCTGTTGCTTACAGATGCAGCCAGCTTATGGTTACATTAGCGACAGGGGATGTATTTCTGCAAGTCTTGCGGGCCTAGCGCACCAGCTTCGCGGCAAAGAACAGGCCCGGGTCATTTGCAACCGGCAAAACTTGTGCAAGAGGGGAAGCGGGGGAAAGAGCTGAGAAGCTTTCGAAGCTTGTTTTTTCAGGTTTTACCGGGTTGCCAAAAAAAGTAATTGTTGACTTTTCTCTGCAGAGCAGAGCGGAGCTCTCACCTAATCCTCTCTGCCCCGCTTAGGGTCCCGAACTTCAACTTCCCAGTCGCCTGACAACTAAAGAATTACCTATCCATGCTTTGCTTTCTTAACACGCCCCATTTGACCCTTCAAATTTAAGACTAGCGGAGCAGAGATCGCCAAGGGCGGCCTCAAGCCATGTCAGCATGTCCTGGGCCCTCCCTGTTGTGACATTTGGCCACTGAGATGGAGAAGTAAAAAGGTGCCATCATATTGTCATCATGTGCTTGATGTCATGAGCACCTGCGCGGTACAGTTGCCGTTTGCACGCGCGTTTGCACGCTGTTTGCTGGTTCGGTCGACCTGACGACAAGGTAGAACAGGACCAGATCGAAGCAGCACCTTTTTCTCGGGTTTTGAAGTGGCATTTCCTGCGAAACTCATCTTAGTGTGTTTTCTACAGCTTGTCGTTCATCGCAGAGAGACATGAAATGTTCAAATACCAAATCACCCTCAGCCAATACGGTTCTGAAACCTTTGTCCAGATGGAGGCGGCAGGAGCTTGGAACGGGCCCGGAGGTGGGGAACGGGGAACCCCGTAAACATCCACGTTGTCAAGGACGCCAAAGGCGCCGAGATCACAGCGCCTTGCGCAGCATTCGCTTGCGAGGCCTTGCTTGAGACTCAGATGGGGGAGGGTCCAGCCCGCAGCTTTGCATGTTAGGTGCATTGCTTGCTGCACTCGCACTCGCCGTCCGTCCTCTACCTGAAGGATGTGGGCTTTGAAGATCCTGTTGGGCGTCTTAAGTTGTAAGTGGTGACATGTTTTCGTGAATCCGCTCGGAACCGTTTGTGCTTGCCTGTGCTTTTCTCGCAGAGAAAATCGGACTTTTGCCTGCCTTCTTGGAAGCGCGACCCACTAGCTTGTTGTTTGTGTGTCGTTATCTTCTGTAACCGCCGTCTCCGTCGAGGGGGCAACACATGATTTTTCTGTGCAATACATACAAGCTCCAGAGCTCGCTAGATGGAAATGAGCCAGCTCTAGCAGCTTTTGTGTCACTCAGAAGCAGTTTTTCTTCAATGATGTTTCTCGCCACGCCAGAACATCAGGAACATGGCAGCTGTTTTTAAGCAAGCCTGTTCACAATGGGCCAGCATTCAGTCCTAGGGGATGGCTTCTTTGTGAGGGCACAAATTTTGGGCAGGAAGCAAGATGTAGCAGATACAGCGCACTGATCCCGCTTTTCTCCGTGCGGAATTCCTATGAATGTGCATGTTTCAAACACGACGAGGATGATCAAATGTTTTCTGACCTTCGTGAAGCAGCATACATGGAATTCGGGCTATCGGAATTGAGGTCGCTGAAATATGAGGAATGGGATATTGCCCTGCCACCTGCTTTTGGTCGGCCTTGCAAGTGCTAGCGGCTAGCGCAGGATTTGTGGAATCAGCAAGGCCGCGTCCATTGGGACGTTGCATCACATGCGCTGCTGGCAGCGCCGGATCCCACAGACGAGAGACGCTGGAGTCCTCTGAGACTTGGCACGAGTGAAGGCTCCTCTTGCTTTTCTGCATCTATAGGCAACGAGCGCAACGAAGGAGAAGTTGAGGTCCAGGATTCATGTTTCTGCTTCTTGCGCACCTTGCAGAACATTCCTGCAGGGCGCCGAAAGATGCAAGCGGCAGCACTGACAGCGATAGTCTGAGTAAAAACTGAATTTCGTGTTGCACCGCTGCGCATGCGGCACTTTGAGGCAAGCTGCTGAAAGAGATCACCAACAACACGCCTGGGCTGGTCGCAATCTCAGATTTGCCTTCCGGCTTGCAGGCTCCGAGTCCCACACAAGCGAACAGAAGCCAGAAAGGTAGCTAGGCCACAAACACCTAAAGCTCACGAGCGATTCAAAAGTCACACAGCCACCCAGGCCCGTTCTGCTGCGCCGCGTGGAGGAGTCTTTGAAAAGAAAAGCTGAGCTGCAGAGCTCAACCGGCTGTGCCAGGTGGCGGGGGCGGTGGGGCAGTGGCCTTGCTTTAGCTTTGCTTTAGCTTTGCTTTAGCTTTGCTTTAGCTGCTTTTGGGAGCGATTTTTCTCTTGCGTGGTGCTGCGTGCCGTTTGGTAGTTTGGTTTGAGTTCCCTCTGAGGTTCGGCTTGGCGCACCAGAGCCCCACGAGAGTGTCGATTTTGCGCTTTGGTTCGGCCCACTGCCCTGCTTTCAGGACTGAGCTGATGCGAGAATATGCGAGAAATTGGTTTTGTTTTCGCATGTCCGAGATGTGCAGGTGGGGACCTTCCGCTACTGCTTTTGCCTGTCCCAGACTCTTGTCCTCACAGGGCTGCTGGGCATGCAACATCATGGAAACATGATCTGATGCAGTGATGCTCCCATGTCAGCAACGTTTGGATTCCAGGTTTCTGCTGGCACTGGCGGTGGTCATTTTAGGGCCAGAGATTTTGATGCCGCCGCTGCCCACAGCTTGATCCCACAATTAGTTAGAAGTTCATTTGTCCGTTCAGTTCGGTGCTGTCAATTCTGTTCTGTCATTCTCGGGTTGAGGCCAAGGCGCTACGGCTGAGGCCGGCGGAGGGTGTTCGAGTCCTTGCTGTAGAGTAAAGCTTCGCGGGCCCGCAAGACGAAGTCCTGCGGAGCACGCCCAGATTTTCGCGCTCTGTCGGAAGCGGACAATGAGAGAGAGAGAGAGAGAGAGAGTGCGTGAGAGAGTGAGAGAGTGAAAGACACGAAGAGAGAGAGAGAGAGTGAGAGAGAGCGAGCAATAGAAATGCAGGGAGCACGGCTGAGAGAATATGCATCGTAGCTGTGTAGCTGTTCGGGCTCCAGACTCAAAAGAGATGGCTGAGGATGATGTGGCAGAAAGATATGAGTCGGCAACAGCGGTGACGTTGGGCGTCACCGTTTTTTCCACAAGCTTTTTGGGGCTTTTCGTGGCCGCGGTGCCGGCTTCACGGTCCCTTTTCGAGTTCCTAGCAGCTACGCTGCTTTGGCCCACATGCCTTCTTTGGCTAAACTGGTGTGTGCTTGTACCACTCACAGAGCAGCAAAGACACCGTCTGAAGACGGTGCGAAGGGTAAAGACGGCTCTTGGGAGCTTGGGGCTTTTTCTGGTGCCGATTTGCACAGACGCCATGCGCCGAGGGCCAGGAAGGATCATTGGCGCCTCGGAGTCCGCAGCCGCGATCCTGGTGACAGCTCGAGCTATGCAACTCCTGCGACGCTTGGAAACTGCAGAGAGCGAAGAGACTCCGAGTTGTCCGGGGAGCCCTCCAAGTCAGCTTTGGGGGAGGTGGAGACGCTTTTATCACATGGCTTGCCTGAGCTGGCATGATGTTGACCGGGTTTGCGTTCTGCGAGAAATAGAGCACCAAAGGCATTACACCAAAGCCTTCGCGGAGCTGATCATCTCAGTCCTGGGCCTGGCTGCCGCTTCGATGAAGCAAAGCCAGCAAAGCTTTTCGTTGTAAGTGTGGTGCTCTACAGGGATTCAGCCGCTCATCCCTTTGATGATTTTTTCAAGTCTCTTTTGGGGTCCGAGAGGCCTGCGGCGTGGCCATGCATGGAACAAACTTTGCCCGGACCATCGGCTGCATCAGCTTGAGCATGGCGAGGCTGTTGATATGTTGCTTTGGAGCTGGCAGTGTCGTGTTTGGGTTCTACACGTTTGATCGTGCCTACCTTTTCCTCCTGTCTTACTTCAACCAGCTAAGTGTACACTCCATCTTCGGACCTGGGTTGTGGCAAAGTCGGACCATTAAAGAGTTTTGGAGACAGTGGAACTTGCCAGTGCAGCGGATGCTGGTCTCTGGCATATTCCGGCCTTTGAGGAGGGCTGGCTGCTCGGAAAGTTGTTGTGGCTTTTTAGTGTTTCTTGTTTCCGGACTGGGACATGCTTGGCCTTTGCTGTGCGTCGGGGCAGAACATTGGCAGATTGCTTTCATGCTCCTCTTCTTCGTCACGCAGATGATCCCACTTCAGGTTGAGTCCACCCTGCACATCAAGGGCCGCTTCTGGGTCTACACAGTGGAACTCCTCCTGTCTCCTCTCTTTGTCCTACCTTTGCTCGGGCCCGTGCTCATAAGCTCCTGAGCCTTCTGAGATTTTGCGTTTCACTGAATTGTTCACTCAGGGCCGAAGGGCCCAAATGGCCCAATGAGGGCCGGCTCAGACCGCTCCAGAGCTTTTCTCGGGCAGTTGGCCCCAGAAGATATGCGAAGCTAGACCCCTCTTTGCATCTTCAAGTTTCTGGAACATTCGAGAGTTATGGGCTCACTTGGTCAGCATGCTTCATTGATTCATGCCTGAGTAATTCAAGGGTGGAGGGGCTGGGTCGCATGTTACCAAACACGAGAGTTATCCATTAGAATAACAAAGAGCTTGCTATAAAGGATAAAGGGTATGATCTGGTTTGAACTTGCATGGTATCCTAACTAGCTTAAATCAGCTCAAGAGGTGTTAGCCACATAGTTGAGGATGTAAGGTTGGATGCCGGACACAGGTTGTAATTAAAGGTTAACGATGAAAGGTGTGGGCTTCAGGGGCTCAGACACTTTGGGTTGAGGGCTGATGTTTCAGCTTCTCTACCTGGTGGTCTCTTAATTTGCAATCCGTGCAACTAATCCCTAAACACTGCCCCATCAAAAAGAGACCACCGGCCTGCCTAGCTTAGCTTTCCAGACGGTATGTGGCTTGTGGGGGGGGCATGAGATGGAGAAGCTTATTCGGCATAACGCCTTTCATTGGTCCACTTCTCGCATGGCCGGCCATGGAAGGTAAGGCAGAGGGGTTGGAGGCGGCCGATGCCGCTGATTATGCGACGCTCAGGGTTGTGCAGCTTCGACAGGCTGGAATGAAACATTCGAGAATGATTTTTCGCATGTTAACGTGAATGTTCCTGTGAGGCTTGCTGCGACGCAGGATTGCCCGTCTCGGGCACAAAGGAAACCTTGGCTCGGCGCCTGGCTGGTCTGGGAACCCGAGCCGAGGTCTTAGCAGCACAGCTGCAAACCTCACACAGCCTCAAAACTTAACGATAAACCGAGGAAGCATTGAGTTCAGAAGAGCACTTAGACAGGCTTGGACACGGGTTTCAGATATGAGGCACGCCGACAGACCTACGGCGCAGCCAAGTCAAAAGCCGTCGTGGCGAAGCCGACAGCCAAGCACAGAGCGCGTGCTTCTCATGCTGCATCTCGTGCTCGAGCACCTCGAGCACCTTGCAGCCATGAAGACTTCCGCAAGCTGTGGTGGGCAGTCAAGGAGTGTGGAGGGTTGAAATCACATGGGATGATGTCCGCTAGGGCTGTACGGGTGCGCGCTGTTGCAACTGTGCAGGATGGAGCGATGACTTGCCTATGCGGAGGGCCGCTGCGAATCTGCCACAGCCGCTTTGGGCTCTTCGTGCTTTGCGAGGGCCGCTGCGGTCGCCGGGAGACGCTGAGAAAGGCCACGCAGCGGCTTCCGGAAAACCACGTCGCAAGCGTCACCGTGGAGCTCGAGGCCGGAGCCATTCGTGAGCATTCACAATTAAAAAAGTCCTGCTGTAAGGGTGGGAGGATGGTGGGAGGCAGTGGGAGGCAGTGGGGGTCTCATGTGCTTCTGACAAATCATGTTTTATCCGTGCATGCCTGCCAGTGCTACGAGGATTTCCGACATGTTCGCATCCATGCCAGCGCTCGTGATGCTTCCCTTCTCCGGAGTTGGGCAGATGAGCTTAAGCTGCCCGGCCTTCAGACCGTCTTTTCACCTCCTATTTGAATTTGTTGGAGGAACGTTGGAGGTGGTTCTCGCTCTCTGCATTATCGGTTAAGGACAGCTTACTTCAAGGCCTCGTCTTGCAGTCTTGCGGCTGCGAAATGCTACGAGCAAGCCTTGCCAATGTCCTCTATAGGGATCCCTATTGGTGGCACGCAGTTGTGTTGGCGCTCACGAGCTCATGCTCTCAAAAAGTCTTCTACCGCCATTGACGTGGCGGCATGCAGAAAATCGCGTCACAAAGGCACCCGTGCAAATTTGCAAAACGTCGGTATCTCTGCCATGCAACAGACCATGCCGAGTCCTTCGATTGTCTGTCCCTTTGCCCTGGCATAGGGATTGCACAGATGTACCTTTTGCATATCTTGTGTGAAAGCAGACCATGTAACCGCTTGTATCCGGATGTGATGCGCCAGGGACCAGAAAGCGACTGCCGGCACCTGCTGGCTCAAGCCTGCTCACGCGAGCATAAAAGGTTCTTCTTGAGCACCAGTGCTTCGGCACTGGTAGCGGAGCTTCATTGCTCCAGGGTTTTGACCGCCATGGCAGGTGGTTCGATCCTTGATGGGCTGCGATTCCAGAACTTCGTCTCCGTCGACGAGGACATCAGCGCTTTCGGTGGTGGCACCGAGGGCAAGTTCGGGATACCCCGTTTTTCTGGAGATCCAGCTCGCCTGAATGAATGGACATTCAGGATTCGCACTAAGGTCAAGAAAGAGGCCACGCTTCCCGAGGATGAGAAGAAGAAGCTTGGTCCCTTAGGCCTGCGGCTTCTGGAAGGCTCTCCGGGCATGCACTTCGCATTGCTCAGGGCCTGGACTTGGAGAAGCTGGAGGGCGATATGGGCACCGAGTACCTGATCGACTCGCTCACGACACAGCTCCGGCCACGTCGAGAACAACAGGCCAGGGAACTCTATGAAGCAGGGGCACGCCAAGGAGGCATGCTTAGCAGACAACCTTCAGAGAGTATGGCACAGTACGTTTTGAGACGTAAGGCCTGGTACCGGGCGATGCTCGATCTGTCTTCTGAGTTAAAGTTGCCGCCTCGCATACAAGAACGTGCCGGCCAGACCGCCTTTCGACGTGGGCCTTTCGAGCAGACAAAGGGCAGCACTGGCAAGTGGAACGGTGGAAAGTCAAAAGGCAAGACACCTATGCCTTTATGGCGGCGGACGGCGAGGACAACGACGCCTACGGCACGGATGACGGCTATGACTACGGCTCGGAAGCCTCCTACCACGGCGCGTTCTACGTCGAGGACGAGCAGGGCGACTACGAGACCGGGACGTTTGCGGAGGAGCACCTCGCATACCTCACCGAGCACGGCATGGACATCGACGACCCGGAGTCCTGCGACTACGCGGCGGAGATCATCCAGGCCGAGGAAGCGTACATGGCCCGCACAAAGGCGAACCGCAAGGGCTATGGAGGCTTCACTGCACCTCCTTTTGAAGTGTCTCGAGCTTTCAGTCTGGACCAGAAGCGGATGAAGCTGCAGAACTTGAAGGCCAGGACAGCTTGTCGGAAGTGTGGAGCGATTGGGCATTGGAGTGGAGATATTGCTTGTCCGCTCTCCAAAGGCAAGGGCAAGGGCACGCCAAGGCCCGGCACCTCATCGACTTCAGCTACCTCAACCTCTGGTGCGGGAACCTCATCGCACCACGGAGGCGGGGCGAAGGGCGGCAAGAACACCCAAAAGCCCCGCACGGTTTATTTTTCCATACGTGAGGACCAGCCGGAGAACGCCCAAGCACACCTTGCATACCGAACGCCAGACCCTCATGGACGAGCTCCACAGCAGACAAGTCATCATGCAGTGCCTCCCCCGAGTTCACTTTTGGCAGGTGCAGTTCTTCGAGGAGGAGACCCGACATCGACAGCAACTTCGCCGACGTCCGGCTCCTGGAGTGTTGTGCCTACCGAGTGGGCCGCGGTGGCCGACGACCGCAGATGGCTCAACAACGACGTCGCCGAGGACGAGGACATGGTCATGCTCATCGAGGCTCTCCAGACCGATGCGGAGCCACGACCTCTACAAGACCTACCGCGTCCACCGGCGGCACCCTTGGCACAAGTGGAGTGGAATATCGCTACGGCTGCACCGGCGCCACGGCCAACCGCGTCCGGACCTCAGCCAGACGGACCACCTCAAGAAGTTCGGCCCCCGGTGCCGGAACCCGGGGCGAGACGATGCGGTCATCAACGCACCACTGCGCACGGCTCCAACGGCTACGACCGCATTACCCGATGTCGAGACTGCGGAGAAGTTCTTCATCGAGAACGGCGAGACGCAACGATGGAAGCCCCGACGGCGTCAGCGACACCGGCCGCAGGATGCCAACACCACCGAGTATGAAGGGATCGAATGGAACGACGAGAGTGATGACGTGCCTGGACTGCGGCCACAAGACACGGACACCGATCCTCGAGAACAATGCGGCGGCCGCACGGACCACGGCATCCTCAGCATCAGCTTCCTCGACGGGATGGCCCACGACGACGGTGACTCCAGCACAGGCACGCCAGATCGCCGAGACGTACCACAAGACCATCGAGACCAAGTGCCGCGACATGCCCGAGGGACAGAACATTCCGACCGAGAAGCTCCTCGACGTCGTTCGGCTGGTTATCGACACGACCTTGGCCTTGTCCCCGGCACCGGCCTCAACATACCAAGCCCCAACGTCAGCACCTCAGGCACCGACCCAAGCGCAGCAAGCTGCGCGGAACGACTTTGCCGAGCGCGATCGACAGCTCACTTTGCGAGGCAGCTTGGTCCAGAAGGAGGGCAAGTACAAGCACAAGACGATGTACGAGGCCTACACCGACCACAACTACCGAAAGTGGGTTCTGGACAACATCGGGAACAGGTCTTCGCCTGGCATGCGAGCACTTAAGGAGTACTTTCAGGAGATGGAGCGCCACCACCAGCAAGCTACCATGTGGAACCCGAGCGGCTCGATGGCTTACATGGCGCTCGACCAGGCGGACAACTCCTGCAACCATGTGGAGGAGAACCACCTCATCGCCATCCTGGACACCGGCTGCAACCAAACCTGTCATGGAGAGAACTGGCTGCGGCGCTACACCCACGCCACGGGGCAATCCTTGCCATACCTCGACGGCACCAGCGTGCGTAACATGCGCGGCATCGGGGGCAACATCGCTACAAATGGGCAGAGAGACATCCGCATCCTTCTCGAATTGCTCGACGGCAACCTGGCAGAGGGAACCCTGCGGAGCACTGAGCTCAAGGAGTCTGATGCACCTTTACTGTTGTCCATCCAAGCACAAAAGGCCTTGGGGCTCATCATTAACCTTGCCTCCGAAGTT